ATTCCCCCGAGATATGACGTGGCAGCGAGCAGCAAATAACGGTAAATACGCGATATTGAGCCACGATACTAAAGTAATGGATGAATGCCATTAATTTTGTGTTTATTCGGTTATCAGGCGCAGTTAATGCAACAAGACCCCCTCAGTGGTGTTATCGCCGAGTCAGCGCCGATAATGCGAGTGTGTGCGCACTCTCACGTATCCGCACTTTGGCAAAGCCGTCCCCTCGGTATTTCTTGGAAAAAAAAAAACGATAGCGCGAGCGCTGTAAAATATCGCTTACGTTATGGATAAATTTATAACGCGCGAGTATGACGAGCAAGCAGTCGGATCTCGTCACGTCTCCCTCGATCACGTAGCGAGCAACGTTTCCACGAAATTGAGAACCGCTTGCGCTGATAGCAACAGGTGGATCTTGATCCCGATAAGCCTGAACTTGTTTACTCAGAATTGCCAGACGTGCGAGTCGCGACGAGATTAGATTGCCGTTCAATTAGCACCCCGGTGAAGAAGTGTCGCCAGACGGCATTACACTTTCGTGACGCTTCTATACTGTGTAAGCGCACGAGAGAGAGAGAGAGAGAGAGAGAGAGAGAGAGAGAGACAGCCCCTGTTTTCCAAATTTTCGAGTATCATAGAGTAAGGCCCGGTTGCACCAACGTCGCGTTACTTTATAGCTTAATTCGCTCTTTGCTTCTTTCTAAGAGAAACAGAAAGAGAAGATGAGTGAATTGAAGTTACGTAACGTTGGTGCAACCGGGCCCTAATGAAGAAACGAAAAAGAGAAAAGGATGACCAGTACCCAACCAGATAGTGGAACAAAAAGTCCAGCACCGAAGGAAGTCATTTAAAAATCAAGCCGGCATCGAAAAGCAATTATTTCTAGAAAGCCGAGACATCATTTAACACTTTTAATGAAACGTAATTTGACTCTTCAATAACTTTCGCCGAGAGAACACAAATCGCTCGTGCACGCAAATTGATTAAAATCTCGCAGGTATTATCTTTCGAGTTTGGTGAAAATATTTGGTTCTTGAAGTAACGACATTCTGACTTCTCACAAGAATGGAAGCTCAAGAATACAAATCTAGAAAATATTGAGTATTGCACTACCTTATCAAAGTAGTATCAGTTTTGTTAAAAAGAGCATTTTATACCCATTACTATTTATTATCACCAATTATGAGTATCAAAAATAATCCAAGTTGAATCTCTGTCACAATGTCAACGTACGACCTTTAATAGTCATCGCGATGTCACTTTGACTCCATCGTGGTTTTTTGTTCGCTCGGGTATGACGTCTCGTCGCGAATGCGATATAAATCAGACGATCGAACAAACAAAGCCACAGCTTGCAAGCACGGCGAAGGGAGATTTCTCACGGGTCATCGGGTCCGTCTTCCCTTTATGATCGAAGAAAGTCGACGGGTTTCCCGGGTTTTGTTCGCGACGGACGCGCCGATCGACGCCGATCGTCCTCCGCGGGATGAAAAGCGGGACGGGACGGGACTCGTCTGACTTTTCATCCGTGGAGAATGGACCCATTATCTCACGTGCGTGGTGAGCGTTGACGACATCTGTTGCGTCTACGAGAAACGCATTTCCACCTTGGGAACGAGGTGGTCTCCACAAATCGCTTTTGGCGTTGTACGATTTACAACGGGGAGTTAGGCATCTCGATTAATGGCGCCGTTAATTATTTGCGCGCGCGTTTACGGCTCCGCGACGCGATACAGCGCGACAAACAGGCGAGACGTGGAAGAACATAAAGCGTTCTTCGTTTACTAAATATAGTAAAGTGACATTGAACTTGATATCACGCGAAATATTCCAATTTCGAAACGCCTGCGAGAGAGGAGACACGTGGCACGTTCGTAGAGCGGAGCGTTTAGAAGCCACACGCGAAGGAACAAGCGGACTCGGAGATTCTATACTGTATTAGATAATGGCTCTGACATGTGCCGCCGAGAATGGAAATAATATCACCTTGACCAGTTGTCCCAATGATCAACGGCGATGCGCCTTGGCGAGATTAGTTGGTCAACGGAAACGTCGTCACCCCCTCCCCCCTCCCGCGCCCCTTTAATTAGCGCGTTAACTCTGAGTATTTAGATAAGGTCCCTGGAATTGGCTGATGTTTACGAGGGTCTACCGCCAATCGCGAGATTGCTCGGTGCAAATGCCGTCGCGACAAACGATTCCCGGCGAATCGGATTATGTAACGCGGAATTTTTCCTCCGCTGCTGCACAGCGCGACACTCCACACCGTGATGACGACAGCGGACGCGCCGGTCCCTCCTTTCTTCGCGTCGCGAAACTCACGTTGGACTCCGTCCCGCGCGTCAAGGGTCCTGGCCATACGGGCGCGATTGAGGGATACCACACGGGCTGGGTGCAGCTAACGATCCTGCTGATCCCGCCGAGGTCACGTCGCGCTCGGACGGGATCGCATTGCGGTCATCGTTGGCGCGTGCTCGGTATAATTGCGAAGGCTCGCGCCTACGGTCAGATGTCGTTTAATTCTTTATCCGCGCCGATATCCCCGCCGATCGTCTCGCCGACGCTCTTAAGGGGATCCTAAAGCCGTCTGTTTTATCGACATTCTTTGTTACAAGTAATCTTTAACTGGCTTTATAGAAATGCAAAACTCTTTTACGAAAGTACGCAGCAAAATCTAGACTATCCAAGTGTTGGTCGACTTTATATCAAAAACGAAGAAAAAATTGAAAATTTTACTAATTTTTGGTACGCTTGACGACAATATTTTGTCGTCTTGATAGTAAAACTTGATACAAGAATTCTACAATAAATACAATATATACAAAATGAGACCAGCATATTCTAGGGACAACACATAAGAACAATATCGTGCAATTAGAACTAAGATTAATAGCCTAGAAAAAAGGAATACTTCTAATACACGCAAGTCTAGAAGAAGAGAAAGAGCTGTACGACGTGTAGAGATAGTTGCTGGCTTTTTCGCGACAGGTCGCTGCCAAACATGTTGATGATGCTAGAATTCATTCCAAAATCTCGATCTGAAAAATATTAAGCTAATAATATCGCTGCTTTTTCATAAAAGTTGCAAATTTATTGGCTGTAAATTTCTCGAACCGAGTAGAACCTGGAATTAAAAATGTCGATAATTGACGTTTTTAATTCTGTCTCCTATCTTGTCGTCGACGGTTCGAGTTCACCAGCGGCTTTAGGATTCCCTTAAGGGGTTCTGTCTGTTTTATCGACATGCTTTGTTAGAAGTAATCTTTTAATTGGCTTTATGGAAATGCAAAACTCTTCTACGGAATTAAAGTGCACAGCAAAATCTAGACTATGCTGGTCGATTTTATATTAAAAAAATTTAATTTTACTAATTTTTTATACACTTGACGACAATAGTTGCTTGATACAAGAATTCTACAATCAATATATACAAAATGAGACCAGCGTACTCTAAAGCCCGTATCAGACTACGGATTGAGATTAGGATTAGATTGAAATTTGACCAATCGCAGTAAGTTTACTAATCTCAAGTTTAGTAACCTTTACTCTAATTGGTCAAATTTCAATCTAATCTCAATCTCAATCCGTAGTCTGATACGGGCTTAAGGACAACACATAAGAACAATATCGTGCAATTAGAACTAAGATTAATAGCCTAGAAAAAGAGAATACTTTTAATAAACGCAAGTCTAGAAATCCAAGTTTGGAAGAAGAGAAAAAGAGCTGTACGGTGTGTAAAAATTGTTGCGGGCTTTTTCGAGAGGGTTTGCTGCCAAACATCTATCAGATTATCAGTAAAGCCATGGTGTTGACAATGCTAGAATGGATCCAAAATCTCGGTCTGGGCAATGTGTAGCCAATAAAATTGCTGCTCTTTTTTCATAAAAGTTACACATTGATTGGCTATAAATTTCTCGTGCCGAGTAGAACTTGGAATTAAAAATGTCGATTATTGACGTTTTTAATTCTGTCTCCTATCTTATCGACACTGATCAAGTTCGCTAACGGCTTTAGGATTCCCTTAATTGTCGTTCTTCTCGAACGACGCGCGCGCGAAGACGTAAATCGCTCCTCCTGCCGTTATCAATTGCGTCACCGTGCCAGAAACGTGTTCTCCGGCGAGTCCGCGACCTTCGCCGGATCGCCTTTCGAAACGACGACAAGCGGCCACTTCCTGATGACGAGGGCCCCCCCGGATCGAAGGTGCCCCCGACCGTCGTCCAGGGTCGCCGTCGTCGTTTTCGCGAGCGCGTGATTCCTCGCCGCCCCGGGGAGAAATTACCGGGGCCGCGGCGACCGTCTGTTGACTCAGCCTGCAGCCCGCCCATTCACACCGACGCGTTAATACCGCGGTTAATACATCGACATCGTTGTGAAAGATACGCGCGGACTTTGCTCGCGCACCCGCGACGATCAGCGGCGAGTCGCATGAGGCGAAATCGACGATAGGGGCCACGTCAATTTCGGCGAGTCGTGATTGCGACGCGGGGGGTAACCGAGCGACCTTATCTCATTGTTCACAAGATAAACCTATCAATTCCCCTCCCCCCTCCCTCTTTCCCTCGTGAATCAACACGAGTCGACTTTCGTTTTGTCAACAGGATGTCTACGAAAATCGACGATTTCTAGTCGCGCAGAGTGTAAGGTCCAGAGGGTATAATACGCCACGACACAACGTTCTTGTTCCTCAGTTTTCTGCAGCATCCAAATTATTTCTAGCAATTAGTCCGAGGAAGTTATTGGTCGCAGACTGTCGGTTTTTGTAGAACTAAAGTAATTCTTACAAGTTCCTCTTGGCAGTGTAACATCTACACTCCTGGCTATATGTATTTCATAACGAATTGCCGTTCAATCAGTTCCACGTCGAATCGATTGGACACTGGCTCGTCTGCTAAGGCGACTCTTACGAGGCTGACGAATACGCGACAAACCGTTATCAGTCTTCTTCTCTGTGCTGGTGATACTCATGGAGGGGTCCGGAGCGATAGCGCGAGCATATATAAGCCTGTACATTCGTCATTGCCAGCAGTTTAATATTCCCTCACGTTTCGTTTCGTTGGACTTAGCGTCAGTACGGCATTCTGGTCACGTCGAACTTTCGTCTCGAGCGAAGATAATTTAAAAAAAAAGAAGTACGGTAAATAAATAGCTATAGAGATCCTCCAGCGTAAAGAGGCCCGGACAAGGCGACGTGCCGCTGCAGCTCAATCTCGGCGAAGATTCATCGCGCTTCGTCCACGATCTTTACGCCTTCTTCATCCTCCTCTTCGACGCGTCGCTTCCACCGTCAGCAAGCGCGGCAAGCAACACGCGACCAGGAAAGATGGGACTCTCTTAGCGCCGATCGAGTCGGTCCCGCGATTTACCGTCGTCCAAATCGATCGCTGTTCTACTCCGAGTAGAACCCGCGTCGGGCTTGAACCACTTTCGACCCATTGTTAAACGAACTCGGTCAAGATAACACGCGCGGAGACTGTCTTTGAAAGTGCGACGGCAGTGTCTTACGTTTCTTTCGCCGCGATCGTCCAGCCCAGTTATGTTCTCGATCAAGTACAGCAAGCAATTTCTGAGCTACCGTATACTCAAGTCCAACCGGTTCAAATATATCTGACGATACGGACTCGGACTACGTGGTAGAGGGTGCGCGCAAGGTGGTGTGTGTGTATTGTACCGCGGGCGACTTGTCGTACCTACGGTGCTCAGGAAGAGGCGGCTTGCCCCAGAGCAAGACCTGGAAAGTCTTGTGTCAGAGTTCAATGGCCGAATCGGTTCGCACGACGACGCGAGCCTGAGGAAGCTGACGGCGACGACGCGACGGAAGACCGGCGTCATCGAAAATCGCTAGTGAGGCGAATCTTTCGAGGGCAAGGGGCACGCGAGAGATCGGGAGGGAAAGAGATTGTTGCAAAACAAACGGAATTGGTAATGACGATTGGTCGTTTCGTCGTTGAGGAAATTTGTGATCGGATAAACGAAGTATTATAGCTTTTGGATTAAACAATTGCGAGAAAAGCGGCGGAGATCCAATCGATTACGACAACGAGTTATTTCGTTAAGCGAGAAAAAGTCTCGAGCGAGAGGACTGAGAAATTGACAGTCAGAACTAATTAATAATCAGAATTCTTTCAAGCCGTGAAAGGCATTGCCGTGGCAGCTGCGACTTTGTTGTCGAGGAGATTTTCAAGCGAGAGAGTAAATTGAATATTAGTCGTTAGCGAGGCGAAAAATTCCCGAGAAGGCTCCCTCCGAGGGACGCGATTTTTCCAGAGCAAAAAAAAAACGACATTGCTCGAGGATAATGCGTGTGTACGTCAGCTTGTGAAAGATCATTAGAGCGCAGATCGTGCGGCGGGATCGGAGTTGAGCGAGTGGAAAGCAACCTCGGGGATTCCTTCAAGAGAGGCACCGGACGCGACTTTTCACGACGCAATCGTACGCTCGCGTGTGCCCGTTCGCACACGCGCGCGCACACGGGGCCTGCGTAAAACGCGCGTAATCAGGCCTGCATAAAACGCGAATTAAACGGAGTCGCTAATTAAAGCGACGATCGAGCGAAATCCGCACGTCTTTGGCAAGTCGGCGCTGAGAATCGATTCAAGTCGGGGGCAAAAGTAATGAAAAATATGATCGTTTATGTTCCGGGCAGAATGCCAACTCACGTTGGTCCCTACGGCGCCGCTCGTTACCCGGGCACCCTGCTAGGAGCTGTCCCGGGTTTTTACAGCCCGGTTACCGGCTACTCCACCAGCCCGGTCTCGAGCTACTACGGGAGCATCCAGCACCAGCCACCGCTGGATCTTCCGGTTTGGCCGCGGAGGATGCCGGCCGAGGAGGAACTAGGGGCCTCGCCGACCGCTAGCTTGGCCGGGCTGGGGGTGTCCCCGGGCAACGGCGGGCCCCCGAGCCCGGCGCACAGTGACTCGGACGCGTCCAGCTCGAGTTTGGAACTGGGGACCATCAGGACCGGTGAAAACGCCCAACTAAAATGCAGGTGAGAACGAATGAACGGTTTGACATTTGTATTTAACTTGCGCGTTACTTGCGCGGCGCGATATAAACATCGCCAGGCAAAAGTTATTAAAGAATTGTTAAATATATATTGTAGGGCTGAGAAAATTATCTGAATGAAAATTACACGCTCTAACGAATCTCCGAGACGTCACAGGCTATCGCCGGATCGGGCGTCACTTCTCGACGAGTGCACTGCGCTCATTGTCAGTATCATTGTTATCAAAAGACCAATTGAGATAGGAGCGAGAGAGAGAGATAAAACCGCGGCACCGTGTTATTTTGAAGAAATCTAGAATCTTCGTCGAGCGTCACCGGGTAAAGTCGGTGCTTCTGCCTTCAGCTGGATTGGATTACTCGAATCGTATCAAACTTGGCATTAGTCTAGCGCTTGTTTACAGTTAAGAGCGTTATAGTATGTGAATAGTTTCCCGCTACGGTTTCGCCGAGGGTTTCGCGTTATCTAAATGCAACGCGGATTTTATGCGTCGGTCGGTACACGCGAATCCTCATTGACGTCGTCTACTCTTATCGCAAGACAAGCCGCGTAATCCCGCCAAGTTTTTCTATTTGTCTTTCTCGCGCGCGTTTATCCGAATCAATTGTTTTATCTTAATCCACGCCCGCACTTTTCCCACCTGTTTATCTTATCTCCTTCCCGCCTATATACACCGATATTTTTCGACGTGCGCTTTTCCGACGAGATACAACTTTATCTGATGAATTCTATTGTAAAACGAAAGCAAAACCGTGTCTCCTCCCCCCCCCCCTCGCGTCTCCATCGTCAAAGAACCGTTCGCGACGACCCAGCGTCGTCATCTCGCTTCCGTTTGCACTTAATCGTAGACATTGTATTCCTCTTAAACGGCGCTAATTTATCTCCCTCGATATAGATGCGCACATGCCCATGCGCGCATCCACACGTGCCAGTTACACACCAGTTACAACCAGTTTTCCGTATCTCGGCTGATACCGCGGAGGTCTTGGCTGCTTCTCGGTTTACCCGAAGAAAAGTCCGTAACTCATCTCGACAAGCGCATCCACCGTCTCGAAACGCGCCGAGATTAAGAGCTCGACTCGCGGACTCGTTCCCTTGGCGCGTTTTTGCGGAATCCAAATCTATCCGGCGCTCTCCCCCCCGCGGGAGGAGGCTCGGTATCTCTAGTGGTAAACAGGTTCGCGGCTGGCTCGGTTTATATTCAAAGTCTACGCGCGCTCGATGAAATTTAGACTCGATACGATAGCAATCGCCTTCGGATAACGAGCGACATGAAGGAAGCCGTTAATTTCGTGAAGCGGTGAATCACTTGGCTCCGCCGCGTGCTGTCTACGCGCTCGAAAAATTTTCGTTATAATTAATTTATCCTCACGTCGGAATCCCAACGTCACCGCCTCGACGTTGTAACGAATAAAGGAACAGCAATGGGTCTTGCTTGCTATCGCGGCATTTCGGAGTGACTGTCGTGCGCGTCGCTTCTTTCACGCGACGGACACGTGAAAGCCCGAGCACTCGCTGTGATCGCGGAGAGCATCATTCTTCCCTATCAAGACACTTGTCCGTTACATCAACCATATATTTCTAAATTTAGCTTCTTTTACTACGCAATCCATCTGGTTTTGTAGAAAATACGGTTGACTTAAATACATACAGCGCGTTATTTTAAGGTCACATTTGGCAATGCGGAGTCAATTTATAATGATGTTACACGTTGCGAAGATATTTTGTAGTTTGAACAATTCTCGCCGCTTCCGGGTCAAATATAAATGAAGACGAGAGGGTATTTAGCCAATCAAATCGTTCAGGATTACCTTGATCCGTGGAATAGTACCAAACTTCAGTTTCCCTCCCTCTCTCTCTCTCTCTCTCTCTCTTGCAATAAACTGATGTCAAACGACGGCAATTGCAAAATGGCCGCAATTGGTATCAATTGGACGAGCCAACTCGAACGCTCATGTGACGCAAATTATATTTCGATATATTCCAAAGCGGCTTGAAGCGGCTATATTTGCATATCGTCTTCGATCAGTTCCGCTTGCGCAGAGCGGCGGCCAATTAAAACAAGTCTGACAATAAAGTTCGTCGCGTTCTTCCCGCGGTCTAACACTTTTCGCGCGCTGAAAAAATTAAGTCGCTCCTCTCTTACAGATGGCAAAACTGCGGCCGATGGTTCACGTCCCTGGAGCAGCTCGCAGGACACGTCGCGAGATTACACGCCGCGCCCGGTTGGAAGGGTCTGTTTTACTGCGGATGGGAGGGATGCGCGAGAGGCGAGCGTGGGTTTAATGCCAGGTAAAATTCCTCCGGGTGTAATGATTGTGCGCGCGTAACGTAGAAATCACCTTTGCATTCTTGACAAACACTCGTGTCTCTCTTTCTCTCGCGCAGGTACAAGATGCTGGTCCACGTACGGACACACACGAACGAGAAGCCGCACCATTGCTTCCAATGCGACAAGAGCTTTAGCAGAGCCGAGAACCTGAAGATCCACGCGCGTTCCCACACCGGTGAACGCCCTTACGTCTGTCCCGTCGAGGGCTGCAAAAAGGCCTACTCGAATTCCTCGGACAGATTCAAGCATACTAGAACCCATGCTGTGGATAAGCCGTATTACTGCAAGGTGCCGGGCTGCCCGAAGAGGTACACCGATCCATCATCCTTGAGGAAGCACGTCAAGACCTACCGCCACTACGTGAACAACAACGATAAGGTGCAAGAGAAGAGCTTCGACGACAGCAGCGTCCAGGAAAAAACGAGATTCGACGCTAATTCGCCCGACAAGCAGAGCAGTAGCGCGCATTCCGAGTCGGACAAGAAAGACTCCAGTATTGAGAGCAGCGTCTCGGGTTGTAGTCCGAAGACCAGCAACAGCTTCGAGGAACAGAGAAACTTCGTCGAGTGGAACAACATGTACAATCTCCAGGAACAGCGGAAAGAACAGGAGCAGGTTACCCCGCCGAAACCATACGAGCAGGATATGAAGATCTATCCGAGGATGTATGACGATAGTTACATCATACCGGACAGGATTCAAGTGAATCCCATGTACGCTTCCGGCACCACCATCATCAAGGATTGCTCCGTAACGTTGTCGCCGCATGCGAGTCCGGGTCGAATGTCGGACTCGATGCCGCGTATTGGAATGCAGTCGACGCCCATCAAGACCGAGGAGCCCATGGAGTACAGCGTCGCTAAGACCACCACGGTAGACTACAGGAACATCGAGTCGATCGTCAACAGTACGCCCTGCAAAAAGGAGAGCGCGGTTAGCTGCGATCCTGTGAGGCATTCGGTGATCAAGCGGGCGGAGGATCTGAAGATGGAGGTGGAGCAGACGCCGCTCAAAGAGGAACTGAAGGATACCAGCGGCGACTGCTGCTGCCGGCACAAGTGTTGCGTGCACAGTAACGACAGCATCCTGCAGAAGACCAAGATCCTCTCGGACCTCATTCTCAAGACGCAGAACCCGCTCTTCCGGCATCTATTGGGCTCGATGGACGGACTGGAGAACATGTGGAGCAACATCGTGGACGCGAGTAGCACGTGCGGCCAAGACCTCAGAGTAAAGAACGAGAACGTTACCGAGATCGAGCAAGACTTGCCACTGGACCTGACGATCAACAAATAACGAACAATCGGCTGTCAACGTACCAAAAAGCTCGTAGTTGTCAATATGAATTTTATCTTTATCATTTGACAAGATCCGAATTAAACGAAACGCCACGCATTTTAGACGCAGTCGATCGAAATGATCATTAATTGACCGACAAAGCATTATTAATTTATCACCGAATCAAAAGTTTCGATCGCATTGTGAGGCCAAATATATTTTTATAATTTACAATGTGAGAAAAATGACGAGATGAAAGCAATCCAAGATTGAACAACGAATTTGCTCAATCCGTAGCTACCTAAAAAGTTGCGCTAATCGAACCGTAAATCAATGCTAATGAGAGCTAATCGATTACTTGGAGATAACGTTCGCTTTTGAAATTGACTACCAAAATCGGATTAGGTAGCTGAAACAACAATGAGAGTTAAACTTATTATAAGGCTGTAAATATATCTGAAAAGTACGTAAAGAAATGCGAGACAATTGGCTTCTGCCCGGTAATTTATCTATTAGAATTCAATTTGAAGAGTTATAGTTTTTATTAAGTAAGACGCTTAACCATCATATCTCAGTACCCTATGTAAACAAAACATATGTATCATATGTATATAGAGATTTATATGTATGTATATGTATGTGTGGCGAGTCAATTGATAAATGAGATAATATGAAGTGAAGTACCCAGAGAACATTAGGACGTCCTCAAAAAGGCTTCGTAAATCACCCGAGATATAAAATTGTTCAAAAGAGGACTTTCACTTTTAGTCACATTTTCACTTTTAAACATATTGCGAGGTGAACGTTAGAACGGAAGCGCGTTGACAAAAAATATTAAGAGCGCCTAGTATTGTTTATATATAAAATAATTTGATATTTATATTATTTTGTTAACGATATCTCTCATTTCACATATATATATGTGTATAAGATAGTAACTGATTTATAATATACATATATATGTAGAAGCATATTATGCATTTATTATAGCTGATATAATAATGTATATATACTGTAATAGATAATCAGATCAGAGTTTTTGACGTTAACAAAGTTATGTGAGTATGAAATTTTTATTTTGATTTATCAAATTGCTTCAGTTTATCTTTTTCTTGTTAATGCGTTTCCGGAAAGCTTCGCTTTAATGGTGTTATTGTGACACTGGATGATATAATAAAAGTGTAGAAATACCAGATTTTAAATAATAGCAAAATTCTCATAAACTATATTCGGATCGGCCATGTTATGTATTTCTAATGAGTAAACAATCGGTAATGTAAATAGTTATGTACGCTCCACTAAAAGGTCTTATTTAAAAACTTATATTTTGAACGTCTTTTCAGCAAGTCTTTAAAACGTCTTCTAAATACACGTGTTGTCTGAGGTGCCTTTCTCTGATAGCGAAATGTTTAACGATGTGAATTAAATAAAGCGAAAACCATTATTTATGCGTTGTTTATTCTTCTCCCTTCGCGGTAATTTATTTGCATAATTAATCATAGCTGCTTGTAAAATTAATATCAATATTCCAATGAGAAATGATTGGTCGCGCGTGCAAAAAGTCGTCGATCGACATCTATTCGACGAATTTGGCATTAATCCAACAACTTTACAACTACAATTTCTCGTCAAGTACGTGATATTAAAGATGTTTGTGAAGCTAAGAACATGTTATACATGAAACTAATAAAAATTATATTCGCAAAAAGAATTCTGTCAATAAGTGACAGTAGTTGTGATAATAAAACATTATGAAAAATAAGAAAACCGATAAAAGCATGAGCGAAATAGTGTAGATTTGTACATATACATAAAGAATTTGATTGGCCCATTTCCTTGCATTTATTTATGGACCACTTATTCAAAAGTGGTCGCGCCCTTACTCTGTCCTTCAGAATTTGTCATCAGCTTGTCCGCATGAAGGCGTAGTCTAGCTTGAAAAGAGGCGGATGATATCTGAACTTAACCCGTCCTTCCTACTAGTGGAAAGCATAGACACATGTGGATATCTTTTCTTCCAATCATTAATCCAAAGATCACTAGTGTTACAGTCATAGAAACGTAATTTTTGCAGTTTAGAACATCGTTCAAAAATAATGCTAAATTGATCAGGCCTCTCATCATCAAGTGCCACCCAAAAGAAATGTAACTCTTTCAAGTTTTTACCCAGCGTTAGTGATTTCAGATTAAAATCATCGAGGAATATATGGGACAAATAGATATATTCCAGACGTTGACAAGAAGAAAGTAATCTTCTCAAGTTATCGGCAGTGTCACCTGCATAATTAAACCTGTAATGAAAACTATATTATTAATACATTACTTCAATAGATCGTACATAGAAATCAATGTAAGTTCTTCAAGATGTCCACAATAGAAGAAGAAAACAAATTTTGATAAAAAACACGTTAACATATGTTATTTTTAATGTAGCACTAACCTAAGGTCCACTTTCCGCAAATTTCTACATTCAGCGAGGGCATTAATACCCCGCGATGTAAGGTGATGTGCTTTGTGCAAATTTAATATTTCCAAATCTGGACAGAAATTTTTCAGCTCTATTAAAACTGTATCTATATCTTTCACATTATTTATATGTAATGCACGAATCCGTCGATTTTTTTCCAGTATTTTGCAAAGAACACTAGCTTCTGTATGTGTACCACGAAGGTTTAAGTATTCCAAACCTTCTAGTTCTTTGAGAAACAACAATGCTTTGTTACTTATTTCTGCGCAACCAAATTCTAGATCCAATTCTAACAAATGTATTGGTTAAATACAATTTACCCATAATAATGCTGACACAGATATATCCATATAATATATATAAATACCTTTCAAATTTTTGCATGTTTCAGAAATAATTTTAAATACGGGATCATAGTCAATATATGAATGCCTAAGAAAACATCTGTTTAACTTTAAATGTGTTAAACGCTTGCTGCAAACCTTAAGAAATTCCACGAAAGCCCCAACAGGAAATGCGCTTGAAGTAAGATCCAACCGTTGCAATTTTTTACATCTTGATTTAAAGTAACAAAATATGTCACAAATATAATCAGCTTTGCGTACATTGCGCACGTTTAAACATGTATAGAGTGTAGAATCTCGTGTCAAAGTATTGAAGTGCCTGTTTACTTGGCTCATGCAACATAACGACGTCAAATCTAAATATTTTAGTATCATTAGTTGTACTTCATCCTGCAATTATATAAAATTTCAATACATAAGATAATATTGTAATAAATAGTACTACGAGACGTGGATTTCTCAGAATACTTACAGAAAGCATTAAGAAACTGCCACATGATGGCTTCTTGGATTTATTAGAAATTTGTGTAGGCTTCACATAATTTGTTTGATAAGCTTTAAACGAAAGATGGAAAAGCTGTCTATAATTACGGGTTGCCTTCAGAGATACTTTTTTCCGCTTCAAATTACTCGTAGAAGGATCTTCTACATTGTTGCAACTAAAATTGGAAAAAAGTTATTTTCATTATTGAGAATATATAAAAACATGGATATATTACATAATGTTGATGATTTGTAAAAGTATACCTTTTAACAGTAATACAGTATTTATCAAAATCTTTTTGAAGGTAGGCTATATCTAAATGTGCATTTTCGTAATCTGCCGTCAAATTACAAACACCCGTGTGATATTGGCGAGAATGGTTGCAAGTAAAACTGTTCAAAAAATCAACGAAACATGTTCTAGGACTGTTGTGAGAACAAAAAATTTTTTCTGATATGCCAATAAGCATTATAGCATCTAGTTTCGTGTAATAGATACTTGGGCTGAACTTGAACTGTAATTTGATCAGTTTGGTTTTAAAGTTACACGACTTTAATGGCGGAGAAAATAATCTTGATTTCGAGGGCAAAGACGCAAGCCTGCCACCCCACAACTGAAACCACTGCAAGTTATGAGAATCTTGAGCCCAAATTTTAATTATCCTCCCAGGATTATATATTTCGTACACAGAGATTCGGATTGGATATACGGCTTCACGAAACTCGATTTCTTCGAAAGAGAAAATATAATTATACACTCTTCTCAACACAAGTGTATATTTTTAAACAATATCTTATTTCTTCCATTATGAAGTGAAATGTCGCATACCAATATAATTATTTTCATTCTCGATGAATTGCTCGATGATTGAGTTATCCCGTGAACAATAAAGTATTCTTGAATGCGTTTCGTCTTGCCATGGAGACGTAGAGATATCGAAGTCAAATTTACACTGTATTAAAAAGTCAGAAAACATGAAATACCAAAAATGTTGTAGCATCTCGTTAAAAAATTTTCCATACACAAAGTGTCCGACGTGAGACTAACTAACCAAACTAGAAATACTAATACACACAAGAACACTTAAGCAGAAAAACTTAAGACTTAAGGGAAATGACCAATGGCTGTCGAGAACGTAAGCAGCCGTTTTGAAACTTAAGCAATGCTGAAAATTCCGATTGGTTGAAATTCTTCAGTCTTAAGTTAAACTACTCAAATTTTTTCGTCTATTCGGATCTTAAGTTTTTCGGGTGTTTGGGCTTTCCCGGTTCGAAAGCCCATCGGGCCTTTAACCAATCACAGTCGAGAACTTCAGCACTCATTTTGAAACGTAAGCTACGCCGAGAATATCATATAATATGACTTTCTTACGGCTTGAGTCTTGCTGCTGAAACTTTTTTGTGTGTATTGTAGACTAGGACTAATAATAACAGATAATATCAAGGTATACACATACATTAGCATAATCTGGAAAAATGGTAGGTGTCCCAATTATGTCAGAGACACTATAAAATACTCCAGGTAACTCATGATTCCCGGGGAAGGCTTTTTCCACAAATTGATAAATGAAGTCAACACGATGCCTCTCTCCAGCGGTCACTTTGCCGACATAGGGATAGCGGCTACAACTCTCAGGATATAAAAATTGATGAGATGTCATATTCACGGGATTTCTGAAAGAAAATAATAATGAAATTTTTAAATAATAGATTAGAAAATAATAGATTTCTGAAAGAAAACAAAAGATAGCGAGTAAATGAAAATTAAAATGTTTATTCTTTTTAATCTTCTAACTTTGACTATTTACATAATTTTAACATTTTGATTTGATTGACTCTTACACTGCAATGGGCTTTTCATATAACTCTTAATTTCACCGTTTTACTTGGCGTGACGAACTTATTCACGTTTTACTTTGGATATGGATATGCCTCTGGTTATTGCACGATGCGTCCCTTGCGATACTGTCCCACGACGATAATTTTAGTAACTGTATATTTCCACCGGTTTATTTAATTTTTAATTATAGCTTTTTTACACAATTTGTTGAGCTGACAAAGACTGAGTAATAAACGAAACGTTCGCGTATATGATTGTTCAAATATATGTTGTCAAATGTATTTGTTTCACCTCATGTAGCATGTCA